TAATATTCAAATAAATTTGAAGGTGTCCAGACCCTCTATGCAAAAGAACATTTATTCTAGTATTGTTCAAATTTGAAAATAATGACAACAAATTAAATGTTGAGGAACAGATGAATAAATGGCAATATAATTACACAATTCAAAATAGGTTGAACCAGAACTACAAGTATCCAAATGGATATATATTGAAAACACCCCAATGTAAAGTGAAAGAACACAAACGCAGAAATCATTAAAAAAAAAAACACTAGGCAAAACAGTATCATATGGCATCTTATGGATACAGTCAGATGAAATGAAAACATAAAAACACAGCTGGGAGGCGAGATGCCACTTTCAGAGCAGGTGTGCCTCTGCTGTCAGAGGGAGGCGGTGGAACTGGCAAGGACAGAAAGGGGGCTTCCAATTTGTCTTTTTTATTTTTTGAAAAGATGGCAAATGGCAATGTTACTGCAAGATGGTAACCTGTGTGAACTCTGGGTGGTGAGTTCATAAGTGCTTGTTATTTGTTTCATAACATATAATGCCGTTTTAAAAACAGAAGAACATGAGAGGAAAGAAAGTGCAGATGGAATGCATCCAAAAATTAAGGAAGTGACACTGAAGTTACCAAACGCGGAGCTGGAGCGCCACACCCATTCGCTTCAAGAGCAAGGGTGCCCCACGTTCAGTGTGCGCTCAGATCTGCTAGTTATCATCTTGTTTCCTGTAAGAAAATCCAAATAATCCTGCCAACCACAGTGCCCTCATTTATTCTGGAAGAGGATATCGGTAATTAAATTCAAGCTCTTTTCGAAGAATCCTGGATCTGAAGACCCCGTATGGAAACACTAGAGGGACTTGTAAATCCCACCTTTACATGGGACTGCCTTCCTTGCAGGTCCATGTGCCACCCTTCCCTCCACCGCTGTGGTATTCCTCTCCCCATGGCTCTGCAAGTCTGACCCCATCTCCTCTCCCTCTCCTGCTCTCCCCTATCATGAGATCACAGTTTCTTACCTCTGCGCTTTCCCTATTCTGGCTCAAGAGATCTCAGACTACAAACACATCCATGAACCCTTCCCCCTGTTTATTCCAGTGCCTGCAATGTACTCCCTTCCCGCACTGAGTACCTGTAGGAGTCATTGCCTCAGTCCTCATCTTCTCACTGGGAGCTGGCAAAGCAAGTAATCCTCTCCAGAACAAGAGGACGGATAACCAATCTGTAGTCATCTGGTGCTGGGGAGTGGGGGAGGGGTGTGTCGGATAGAAAGTCGACTCCCTTCTAGTCTCTGAGAGCCTAAGAACGCCACGTGTGTAAGAACACAGCCACTTTCACAGAGAAATGACAGGAGACCGTAGAGCAGATTATTAACGCTGTAGCTCAGCTACATTACCGGTTAAGCTAGTTTTTAATGGTACAACTGGGAACCTAGTTACCATTGTAAGCCAGCTTCAAATGATGACTTTCAGCTAATTTTGGGAACATCACAGGTCCCTAAGATCTGGACTGTTTGGATTTTGTTTGACTCTCAATTAAAATTAAAAAAAAAATTCTTTAAACAAAAGAGTTCCCTTTGTAAAACTCACTGTGGTGTCACAATGGCACTCATCAGCAGCATTACCCAACATTTGTCACTGGAGGTCTCTTCAGGGTTCCAAAGTGCTCACAAAAGGAAACCCGACTGCACTGCTGGTTCTAACACCCAACCATCTTAAGAGGCAAAGACAAAGAACGCGGCTTTTCTTTCTTTAAGGCATAGCTCTTCCTCTATTCCGAAGGCTAGAATCAGAAAAGGGAACTCCTGAAGCCACAGTCTCTCAACTGGTATAACAAAGCCTTAGCAGCTTTATTAGCAAATGGAACAATGATGAGATAAGCAAAAATTCCGAAGCCTTGGAGGACCGGTCATAAAACACCCCCACCACTCTCCGCGCTACGTAGAGATTAGATGTTTACTGGGAGACCAAGGAGAGTCATAAAACCTACGACTTACCATTTTTACTGAAAGGAGTTGACGTGCCTGGCACACAGCGACCCCGAAGATGCTGTAACTCGGACAGTGAATGCTCAAGTTAGCTAAGCAGAGTGAACTTCCTTTTTTGAACCGTGTGGTCTGTCCAGTTTTCACACATTGATATATAAGGTTTATTTGCATGTTATCTCAGCCCTCAGAGCATTTGTATAACTGGCCAAGGTTCTTCAGTTGTTACACTTTAATAATATGGGAACAGCTACAGGTAAGGCTTTGAAATCTGAAAGACTGACACACAATTTTTTTAAAAAGTGCCTGAAGAGTAAATTCTGTGTACATTGTTAACCTGTTTTGTATAAAATATGTATTTGTGGATCCATCTATCTATCTATCAAGGACTCACACTAAAATGTTACAGTGGTTGACTTTGTGGTGGTATTATTCAATAATTCTGTTTTGTACTTTGCTGACTTTTTTACCTTTTTAAAAAATAGTGTCTTTTCTTTTTTTTTAAACCAGCATCTAATTTTATTTGCTTTTTGTTTGTTTGTTTGTTTTTTGGTGGGAGGGAGGTAATCAGGTTTATTTATTTTTAGAGAAGGTACTGGGGGTTGAACCCAGGACCTCCTGCATGCTAAGTATGCATTCTACCACTTGAGCAATACTTTCCCCCGCTTTTGACCTTTTTATTTTGAGTATGTAATACTTGTTAAAAAATATAATTATAATCTTAAAAAGACTAAAAGGATCATGCTAATTTTAATCAACACTTCCAAATATATTTAAACCTATCTCACTAATATTGAAATGGTGGTCATATTCATAAGCTTAACATAGGATGTTATTTATTTCATTAAAAATTTAAAGCACACGTCAGTCTGAGTTCTAATTTTTTGGTAATCTTTGTTAGCATCAGATGCCTCAGCCTCTCACAATGGTGAACTAGATATTCTTCAGTTAAGGACGTGATATTTGATCCGAACTAATCAGATTTCCCACCAATCTCCTGTAGTACCTGTCTGAACACATTCCAGGAAAGGAATTTATCTCCTTTATTTTGAATATATAAACTGATACTAAAGTAATTTCAAGGGCAGAAGATCACTTTGGGTCCTATTGTAAAGGAAAAGCAACTGACTCCTTCATTCTGGGTTGCAAATTTCTAGATCTTGCATGTACTACCACATTAACCTAGCAGAGGGACACCACATTTTCTCATTAGATGCCGTGCTAATACTAATAACTACCATGACAATAAAAATCCTTCATTAAAAAGATGTTCCCTATGATTTATTTCTTAAAGTGAAATGTTTTTCAAAATCAAGATGTATATAGGGAAATATGGATAGACAGGACGAGAAAGAAAGGCAGGGCAGGGGTCATATTCCAGGAATGGAAAGAAACCTGAGTGCCTTGAAACCTATGAAGAGGTGTGGGGCTTAAGGATAGTCAGGAGCCGGGAGGTTAGCCAGGAACCTGAAATCGCACCGTCTTTGGCACATAATAGATACTCAGTGAATGAATGGAGGAGATCCAGGCGAGGCAAGGATGAGATCGAGGTGTGCTTTTAGACGTAAATCATTGCCAGAAGAAGACCCTCAAATGGAGACATTCTGTAGCTTAACCAGAAAGCCTCTTACCCACTGTCTGCTGGAACAATACAATTTAGGATCTAAGGCACAGGCTTTTAATCTGGCTGCACATTAAGAGCACCTGAAAAGCTTTTAAAAATCCCAGTTCCCAGGCTTAACCCCAGACCATTAAACACCAATTTTTAGTTTTGAAACCCAGGCATCAGTATTTTTTAAAGTTCCAAAGGTGGTTTCAAGGTGCAGGCAAGCTTGGGCTCTGAAATAAAGGAGAAAGTGACTCCTACTAGAAAGAAGACGGATCAGCCGGCAAGACTTGCCAGTACAAATAATCCTGATGCTCGGACGGCATTTACTACTAAGTTTATCAACATATTTTCACCGTGTGCTACGTAATCATAAATTATTCTTGGTCATTCTGAGGTTTTTTTCTCTCTGTGCCAGTGAGTTGCGCAAAAATTACACGATAAACAGAAATCTAGCAATTTCCATTAACAATGTAGCTAACTGTACAAGTCTCTGGTTAAGAGACCGTTGAATTTCAATTTATTCATTTGCATTCTGTTTCAATTTGTGTTTGGTTCTAAATGCAGATTAAGGTAATTTTTAGTTATTGCTATAAATTCAGCAGTCTCTCAAAAACATATTTAAGAGAAGTATTTTGGCTAAGGAAAAACAGGCTGAAGCTCTTATCCATAGCCCATATAAGCCACCAATAAGTTTTTATTTTTAGTTTTTGGAGCATAATCATTCTACTTAAAAAATGTGTATTTCAAACATCACGTATGTGAGGACATTTCCTGTGAAGTCAATTAAGTATGTAAATCCTTGAGCAGGAAGATGAAACAGGAAATGCAAGAGAGATGACACACAATATATGATACCATCTAAAGAAGATAAAGTTATTTTTTCTTCATGATGTGGGCACTGTAATTATTCCTGCTAGCGGAAGGGAGAAGAAGTTAAGAGAACGCAAAGGTGGTTACAATTCTTCAAATCTCTTTTCATACATTTGCAATTGAGAGAACTATTTTTGTTCAGGCAATGGTAAAGTGAGGTTGTCCCCGTGGTACCCACCGAAAGTGACAGCTAGGTGGAGACTGTGGGGCCCAGAGACATTGGAGGTCTGGTGAATCCAGCTTCATTTTTTTTTTTTTAACCTCAGTTTACAAGATGAGGGAGAGAACACTTCGTACAATTTAAGTAACACTATTTCTCGATCATTATTTATAAGCATCGTCATTGTTATTTCTATCAGGTTTTAAAAGGAACATGGTTGAAATTGTTAGCAGCGAGGGTTAGAAATACTTATCAGCTCTTACACAATTTCAGCTTTATAACCCGAATGGCTAACATTTTAGGGAAGAAACAAATGATCATCTACTTTACATGCCGAACACTCGCATGCCTGGGCAAGACCCCCAAGACAGGAGAACAGGGGGATGTTGAGTCTCACCTCTTCCAGGAAGCCTTCTCTGCATCTGGCTCTCTCGTGTCCCCCTTTTCCTGGACTCCTGCAGACTGCACCACGAAATGAAGCTCTTCGATAGGCTTGCCTTTTACGGTTCTCCCATTATATTGGCTGCGTTCAGTTCTGCTCCCTAACTAGATCTGAAACTCCTCCAGCGTGAATTAATTTTCATACTTCCTTCTGTCACCTGAAGATTCTAAAGTGGCTTTTATTTTTCTAAAGCCTTTTTTCAGAATCTGATGAAAGCAGCGTATGGTTTGCACACAAATTCTGCCTGTGTACAGCCTTCTTGGAAGCCCGTCTCTTGTGGGAAGCTGTAGAACTTTTGGCTAAAACATTGTCAAACACTCAGAGATGGTCACTACACTGGTGCTTTTTGATGATAAAATGAAAGCACAGAAGTGTGAAGTGACCCCCAAGTTTCCAGACTAGGAAACTGGTCAGCTAAAATTTTATTATTTTGTGAACTTGTTTCCTTTTAACAACATGCATTTGAACTGTGCCAGGAAAGAACAACTCAAACTCACAAAATAGATTCATAGAAATTCAAGGAAATCCTAGACTCCCTGCATGGCTAGATATGGAATAGCCAAATGGAAATAGCAGGAGGAAAGCAGGATAAGAACAAGTGTGCTTTTAGAAGGTTGTGCGGGAGGAAATGGGTAGTTCCTTGATTTGGTTTATTTCTCTTTCACTTTTTGTTTTGAAAACAAAATGGATCTTTTTCTTCACTCTTATACTTTCTATTTTTGATGGAAGGAAGCCTTAACCCTTTCAGAACATCAGTGCTCTGGGAAGAAATAACATTAATCAACTTCGGTGAAGATTCAATTCATCTTTCAATAGAAGGAGAAATCCCACTCTATTTCAATAGGATTGCTACTTCAAAACTGGGTTTGCCTCCTGATGGGTGTTGAATCAAAAGGCACAACCAAGCCAAAGCACAGGAGAAGGCAGGATTTATTACCTGCAGCAAGTAAGGAGAACACTGGGGATCTTTTCCAAAACAGTGTCTCCCCAAACAGCAAAATTGGGGAAGTTTTAAGCTAAGGGTACATGCATATTCATGAAGAAGCTTGGGTGGGCCACAGAGTTCAAACTTCAGTTGACTAAGTCAGTGAGGGTCAGAAAAGGTCAACATCATTATCCCTTAGGTTCTAATAGACCTGGTGGTTGAGCGCTTCAGGCTACTCTTTACCTTTGAAACAGAACTGGGCGTCTTTACAACTGTTATATTATCTTTGCTATTGTTTCTTCTCTTGCCTGATAAGTCATTTGTTTCTGCAGTCTTTTTTCCCCTTATGATCATTAATTACTGAGACCTGTTCAAGGACAAGCATTGTGGCCAGGCTTAGATCACAAAATGGCTTAGGCCAAAAATGGCTTCTGTCATGTCAAGGAGGCCATGCCTGATTCTCTTTCTCTGAGGACCCCCTATCCTATCTGCTTACAGGATGAGTATATTGTTTAAACTCAAGAAGGGCAGGGAACCATTGTCTCTACAATTGAAACCCAAATCCAGGCAAATGTTTACTAAACTCTAAAAAAAAACAAACAAACAAAAAACCCTGCCAAAATAGGACAATGGAGAAATAATCTAAACTTTACTTAAGGAGTCTTTTATCAAGCCAATTAACTTGGAGAGCAAAAAGACAAAGAACAAAGCTTCTGGAAGAATTCTGTTATATATTAATTTGCTTACTACTTTTTTTATTTTGGCCATAATTTGTATCTTACCCTCTTGGGACTGGGGGACTCAAAGAGCTCTGCAGAGTCTGTTGTGTTTGGCTATTCTCTTCTCATGTCATCTCACCTCTTTCAGTCCTTGTATACTCTCCTCAGAAGCAGAATCCAAGTTGTAATCCTTTTATCTCACTGGGTCTCCAAGAAAAGATGTAACTGACATCATCAAATTGCACACCCTCATTGGATTTGATCACTGCTTTTGAAAATTGGTTAAAAATAGTCACACTTTAATGAATGAAAGAAAGAAAAAGTCTTACATGAAAAATCCATCTTTTTTTCTTTTTTGTCCTTCTTCATTCATTCATTCATTTCCAGTTTCCTTCCAAACAGGAAAGTGAGGCCAGAAAGGTTGGAAAATAAACAGATGTGCCTTGGAAGTTTATAGACTCACAGAAGATGACAAAGGAGGAATTGGATCAACCCACCATTCTGGGAGTTCTTACCCTGTCCTGTTGTCAATTAATTGCAGGTGTGAATATACTCACTTTCCTAGTCTACTGTTTATTGAATTTTAAAATAGAAATATTTCCATTTCTGTACAGGGTAAAGACTGATGAAGCCTTATACCATTTTTTGTACTTTTATAATATATTTCAAATTTGTTTAAGATAGTCAATTAAAAAAATCTCCAGTTTTTACTCTTTTTCCATGAGTTTCTCCCTCTTTTTTTTTTTTCAATTTTAGAATCACTTTATTCTCTCTATTTGAAAAGGTACTCAACCTTAGTCTTTTTCATACCCTATTGCTCAGATTAGGATTTGTCAAACAGGAAGCCTACCTAAATACAAAATTATTTATGACCTAATGCAGAAGTGATCATACCTGAGTGTAACCTAGTGATAATTTCTCTTTGGTCAGAAGACCAGGAATATTTCTATTTTCAATTCTTTAGTACCTTTTGGAACTTAATACTACCACTTAATAATGCTATATGGAGGACGTAGTAGTATCTATAACACAGCTATAAAAATAAACATATTGGAATGCAATTTGTGAAATAATTCAATGTCATCCTGACTCTCTTTTCTCTTGTCTTTTCCAGGCAGATTGACTGCAATAGGCCAGCACATGGTTAAAAAAAAATCACTGATCAACAAATGATACTGGGAAAACTGGGTATTCACATGCAAAAGAATGAATTTGGACCCTTACCTTAATCCATATACAAAAATTAACTCAAAATGGATCAAAGACTTAAATATAAAAGCTACTAAAACAATAAGACTCAGAAGAAAACATAGGGGAACAGCTTTTTTGGTATGACACCAAAAGCACAGGCAACAAAAGGAAAAGTAGGTGAATTAGATTTCAATATTAAAAACTTTGTACACCAAAGAACACTATCAATAGAGTGAAAGGGCAAAGGGAGAAGATATTTGCAAATCATATATCTCTAAGAGATTAATATCCAGAATATATAAAGAACATCTACAACTCAACAACAACAACAACAAAAACTCATTAACAAATAGGCAAAGGACTTGAATGGACATTTCTCCAAAGAAGATACATTAAAGGCCAATAAGCACATGAAAAGATGCTCAACATCATTAATCATTAGGGAAGTATAAGTCAAAACCACAAAGAAATACCACTTCATACCCATAGGACAGCTAATATAAACAAACAAACAAACCAAGACCCCTAAACACAAAAGACATTCCATTAAGTAAAATAAATCAGAAGCAAAAGGACAAACGTTCTTATATGAGGTACCTAAAAGAGTCAAATTCATAGAGATAGAAAGTAGAATAGTGGTTACCATGGCTGGGGAAGTAGGGAGTGGAGAGTTAGTGTTTCATGACTAGAGTTTCAGTTTGGGATGATGAAAAAGTTCTGCAGATGGATAGTGGTGATGGTTGTACAATGTGAGTGTACTTCATGCCACTAAACTGTATATGTAAAAATGGTCAAATGGTAAATTCTATATAATGTGTATTTTGCCACACACACACAAAAAACTCCCCCCAAAAAATCACTTAACCCACTAATTATTTTGAGGTGAGTACTAATCCTTTCTGTCCTATACCGTCATCCCTCATTTTTAGGTTTAATCTTCTTGGCTGTCAGTGTCACAAGCATTAGAGTTAAATCTGAAAGAATTTGTATCAATAGGCTGGCGTGGTAACATACCCACAGCCACCATTTATGGCTGGTCAGTTAAGTGCCAATGTCCTTATGCACATTATCTCAATAAATCAACCTAACAGTTTTATGAAGGAGATATTATTATCCCTGGGCGTATCCCGGGGCTTACGGCTTAGTAAGGTGCCTGTTGTTTAAAAAGCCACATCTTTCCATTCTCTTAAACCATTTTCATGCTCTTAGTATAGTAGTGGGTAATGACCATGAGGTGGGAGTGGAGGGGCTGGGAGTGGGGTGGTGGGCAGACAGAAGATATTTGTCCTACAAATTATTTGTGTGTGTGTGTGTGTGTGTGTGTGTGTGTGTGTGTGTGTGTGTGTGTGTGTGTGTGTGTT